TATTATTAATTATTAATCAAGTAATAGTCATCAAACGAGAGTTAAGAGTTATGATTCGTGTCGCATGTATTTATGTAAAAAGAGAAATCGTTTTATAGCATCCTGTCTCATAATTGATAACTGTGTTCTATGAGATATGGAGAGCATACATAATTTATCGTTCTACGCCTTGTCGGAGAACTTGGCAGCGTTTCAGGTTACTGGAAAGTTAACCGAAGCCGCGCAGATGTATCGACATCTACTGTCCCGGTTGCAATCCCGCTGATAAATTGCACGTTATTATTTTCGCGCGAGCTGCACGTGTTCGTCGATCCAATGACGAACGTTCATATAAATATTAATAGCTCTGTTTACTAAGAGTCACGAACGCGCGTCATTGTCGAGACAGAATAGACAGATTAAATAGACTCACGTCATTCTTTATAGATTAGCTTGTAAAGAAGTTATTATATCGCATTCTTTTTATTCTTTATTATTTTTTCCGTTGTGTCAATATACCATTTATTCAACTTTGCTAAAAAAATAATTCAATTTTATTTCCTTCGTTCTGTCTATACCCTTATGATCATAATTATGCTCGATCGAAGGGGCAAAATGCGAAAACGCGTCACGTGTCAAAATTCGAATTCATAAAAGCAATATTGTTCGACGGCGGGGCAATCGCAAAATTATTCGTGGCGCGTATTAGACCACGTGTGCAATGATAAGCAAGGCAGAAATAATTCCATCAAAATTGCGCGAGAGCATCATGGCGTATCGGCGCGAAATCCTGACCGCGCATCGGCGGATGTTTCGACGGCTCAATTATATGTTCAAGCACTTTCGGAATTCGAACGGGAGCTCTCTTAAAGACGCGCTTATTCCCCGCGTGGAATTACATACACTTCCCTCGCGGCTAATTACGCATAATACGCCCGCGGGTAGCTTGCTTTGTTATTATTACACGCTGCGAAATTGTTATACGAAATTTCACGGGCCTCGCGCGCACACGAGTTATTACGAGATCGCGCAAGTTAAACGTGCTACCTCGCACTTTAATCTCCGCGCCGACATTATCCTTCTCGGCATTGTTCCGATCGGAAGTCTTCCTGGAGGGAAGTTGAAGTCGAAATGCAAAGATTGAGAGAGAGAGAGAGAGAGAGAGAGAGAAAAATATACTCGCGTTTTGCTCGAACGTGCGGCATCATTATATGGTAAATGCGTACACACGCATATAGCGCATGTGATCGGTGGCTTTCCCAAGTAACTTCAACAATTTAACTCGCGGATATTGCGGTACATCACGCACTAACGAAGTCCTTTGACAAGTTCCACGGAGATTACAAGAACTTGCCTTTCCGCGCTGCGTCGCGCCGGACGTTTTCAGGACAATCCTTTCGCGCCGCGGTAAAATTTTTAGCACGCGAAAAATAAAGAAATCGTAAAGAGAAAGAATCACGACGGCGGAAAATCGTTCCTCTTTACAAGTCGGTCTAAACTAATTACGACTTCAGAGTTCAGATCGCCGGTTTTCTAAAAAGTTTTTCCATTTATGCGTCGCGTCCGCGATTAACATTGCAATTTATATTCAAGAAACACACACAGAACAATGGTAATATCAAGAGTCGAACGAAACCCTGAAAGGGTTAACCGAAGCCTGCGAAAGCCGGGGCCGCAAACGTTTGCCTCCACAAAATCCGCTGTGTACGTCCGCTACGATTTACTTCCGATGACTGCGGTGGTACTTCCGATAACTGCGGTATTACTTCCGATAAGTTCGGCATTATCCTGCACGGGGAATCGAAGTAATGGAGAGAGGAAACGAGAAAACGAAGGAGAGCGAGCGAGAGAGAACGTAGAAAGATATTACCTAACATATAACATTTCGTGCGATCTCACACCGCCACTTGACGTGCATATCTCAAGAGTGCTCGCGTGCCACGATGAGACGTGCGGACGTGAGGAACGTACATATATGATGAAGGGAGAAAGAGAGAAAGAGAGAGCACCTTGGAAAGCGAGTAACCCGGCAGGGATTTGCATGGGACAATATCTCGACTGATTTATCCCCCAGAGCCCGAAGAGGTGGAAGAGAGCAGACGTGTCCGAAGGATTTATTTCTACGGCGATGCGGCCGAAAAATAAAGAGGAGCCGACTTTTTCCCTTTTTCCCCTCCTCTCCATTTCCTTCTCGACAAGAATATCCGGTTTATTGCCGCTGGTACACGCGGAAGGACACGCGATCCCCAAAGTGTTGCGCTAAACGGAGCGTATCAACGGAACGCAACGCTTATACACAAAGACGTGCGTTTACAGCCCTCAGTGTTTAGTTTATCGGTAGTACAATCCTCTCCCCGAGCCCTCCTTGAAGCCCTTGGTGGGATTTACGGCCCGGTCCGTAAAGTCAGATTACACTTACCTCGCGTCTCATGCCCCCGTGGAAAAGTCCTGGCGCGCAATCGAGATGTCCGACTGCTGCGGACTCGGACTCTCGACAAACGGTTCAATGTTGTCAACGTGCGCGCTCGTTTCGCGGCTATCTCGGCGAAACGTCGTAAAAGAATAAAAACTCAACTCCGTCACGCGCTCGCAGTTGCTACTTCCTTCTAAAAATGTATTTCTGTTCGTTACGACAATTTAAATGACGTTACCCGGAAAGCCATTTTGACGTAATAAAACGAGACTATTGTTGTTGGCTTCTGTAAAGGTTCCTTCCTCTTCTCGATCTCTCTTCGCGTATTCTCTCAATGGATAATATAACCGCCGACAAAAGATCCGTGTCAGAGAGATGAGAAAATTCTGACCGCTATTTTCTAAACTAAACGTATATACGTTCGCAGGTTATATTCTCAATTTTGCGACCCGAGCTCGATGCGATAGCTATTTGGACGAGGGCGATAGTGGATGAATCAGCCGAATTTTTGGCGTTAGGCTTTCAGGACTCTGTAATTTTCGATCCTTTTGCTCGATTACGTCGGATCCCAAGGAAACTATAGCGATGATGAGTTTGACAATTTAGGGAAGAGCAACGCAGCGATAGAGAGACGCAGCGGGAACGTTGACAAATACTACACCGTCACAGAGATGTTCGATAATAGAGACTCGTATTAATAATTCGTCTGCCGAATACCTATCCTGATCTAATCCACTTGCTCCTCGACGAGGAAAATTCGAAGATATATTACATCTCGTATTTCCGACGAAATGATTTACTCAATTGCGCGATTTAATCAAAGTTATGATCATCCCCTGATGTTTTTCGACCATCGCGACCATCGTACCTATTAATTCTCAAATGAAGCCGCGAACCTAATTTCGATGACTCCGCGCACACAAACTTGAGAGGGCATGAGGGAACGGTAGAGTTAGTTAGACACTTCATAGTTTGTCGTTAGATGCGAGTACATATATAGTTTCCTTGACGAGAGTTTCATTCCGGCAAGTTCTCGCGTGGCTTTCCCCGCAGTAATTACTTGTAAATCTCTTACGAATAACGGCAAACGCGAGATTAATTTCGTCTACGAGGATGCGTAATAATTGGTGTTCTTACTTACTACTAGTATAGAAAGTTAAATTGTTAAAATTGTTCAACCTGTATAATGAATTTTAATTGTTATTGAACTGTTTTCAAGATAAATTAAAATTTTTGTTCTTCCGAGATTCTTGTATGATTCGCATTCTGTAATTTACAAATACATGTTTCGCTCAAAGGAATATTCAAGATTCGCGTAAAATAAACCAGAAATAAATCAGATTGCGCTCGCTGCAATGATTTTTAATTGTTATTGAACTGTTTTCAAGATAAATTAAAATTTTTGTTTTTCCGAGATTCTTGTATGATTCGCATTCTGTAATTTACAAATACGTGTTTCGCTCAAAGGAATATTCAAGATTCGCGTAAAATAAATCAGAAATAAATCAGATTGCGCTCGCTGCAATGAATTTTAATTGTTATTGAACTGTTTTCAAGATAAATAACAATTTTTGTTCTTCCGAGATTCTTGTATGATTCGCATTCTGTAATTTACAAATACATGTTTCGCTCAAAGGAATATTCAAGATTCGCGTAAAATAAACCAGAAATAAATCAGATTGCGCTCGCTGCAATCGAGCGAGTTAAGAGAAAATCAATGACGCGCAGTCGAGCGATTTAATTTCGCTTCTTGTGATTCTGCTGCCGCTTGCTTCTGCTGCAGAAAATTTCAATTTATTTTACCGATCCCGCGCCGAGATCGAATGGTACGTTTAAACTTTCTCACCATGCATGCATACGTATAGATACATACGTATAGATACATTTTATGTTGATGTATTATTTATTCAGACGCGCGATAGAAATTGTTTCTCTTTAGCGTCCCTTCAAGCAGTCCACAACTTCCTTGAGTAATATTGAAAACGTTTCGCCGGAAACTTGATTAAAACGGGCACAAAGTTGTCGGAATTAATTAATTGACTTTATACTTCCGCGTTTCTGGCGAAGCTTACGAGAACCTTCGTTAAATTTAACGGCAAATATCGCAATTGATTATAAGCTACTTTCTCATATCTCGATGTAGTCGATATAAATTATAAGTAATTATCAAATTATATCGATAGCTGTAAGACAACTGCTGTCTATGAGTATATGATCCCTATATTTATATTTTTAAATCAGTAAGAATTTGAGAATTTTCCGAAAATCTTGTGCGCGGTGACCGAATGGTATTATATATGTAATATATGAAATCTTTTTGTGGAGCGACACTCATGTTGACACTCATAAATATTGCTCTGTATTTAAATATAGTTCTCTCGCAATTATAATACTTACGTGTTTTACCCCAGCTGACACTTATATTTACATGACTAATTACAGTTGTATTTAAAATGTCAGCACCGAGAAAATATCCAAAAGGATTCTTTCATAAAAGACTTACGATCGCGACGATCGATATTATTGCGAGAAAAATATACGGAGAATATATAACCGCGACATTTCGGCGAATAAAATGATTCGGCAAATATTTCGATTCACGACTCACCCACCATTGAGCACGTGGACGAGGACGCTGGCTGACTCGGCTGTGGATGGCGCACAGGTGTAATTGCCGGAATCGGCTGGCAGTGCTTTGCTGATCAGAAGACGTGACGTTCGCGTTTGCTTCTCCGTCACGACACTAATGCCCCCGCGTTGACTGTAGTTTATCACATTGTCGCCCTTGTACCTATGAAAATTATCGAGAAATATTCAAACTATTAGTATAGAGAAATATCAAATAAAATCAGTCTTAAAACAGCTGTTATTAAACACGTTTATGTCTACTGTCTACTGAAGTTGTTAAATCAAGTATGTACAAATAAGTTGAACGGATATTACGATGTAAGAATTTATGTGCGAATATAAAAAGACACGAGAGAATTTATGCGTTTATTACGAGCGCACTTGCGAGGGATCTGTGAAATCTCTAAAAAACTATAACTTCAAGGTGCATAATTCCGTCCGGAGATTCACTTTATCGGAGATCAGCTTTACCGGGCATCCGCTGTTGAAATTTTTTATTAAAGCAAATTCTGTCGAATGGAGGTCACTGTAGATTTGGATTTTGCAAAACTCGGTCGTGTCGAAATATACGTAGAACAAATTCAATCGCGCTATCGTCAAGGGAGAACGCTCGAACTCACCAATAGATGAAGGATGGTGGTTCCGGCGTTTGCAGCACGATGCAGGTCAGATTGATGTCGCTCCCGCTTTTGATGTAGAGCTCTGAATTGCCGTTGATCTTTGCCTTCGAGACTGCACACGGGAATAGAACAAAGTTAAAGTGGTTTTTGGCCCGAGTACGTTCGGTCGAATCGACGTGAGTAAAGCCCGAACCAAAAAGTATGATCACAAATTTTCCTTAAACTGTCGCAAAGCTGCAATTAACTCGCGCCGAAAGCCGGCCGCTTAAAAATTCACTTAAGAAACAAATTACTTTGGAAACTGATATTGAACCGCACAGTATGAAAGTTGTATAACTGCTTTAAGAGCACAACTCTCTTTTATCAACGAAAATGACATATTAATATATTTTTAAATCATTTATATGCATAAAAATATGTGATCTCCATTGTATATCGTTAATAATTAATTTTATAATACGCACCTACTACGCTCAAGTTAAAAGCTTGACTAATCTTAGGTTCCGTCGAGACTTGACACTCGTAGATCCCGCTGTCTCGCACTTGCGGCGAACTGATCTTCAGGGTCCACTCGTCGCTGCCATCGCTGTGCAACGATTGAAAACGTTGATCGTTTGTGTACGTTAGGATGCCAACAGTGAGGATATGTAAATCCCGCTGCCTGATCCATGAGACCTACGCAATCAAGAAACACCTGCTGTTGTCGCAAGATACACCAAACTAGACATGGAGTCGGGAAGTTCGATGAGTTGCTTTCGTGCAACTTTCTCAGGGCGCATTTCTAACGTGCGTTTCGTAAACTTGGGACAAATAAATCAAAGTAAACGAGATCTCTCTCGCGTTTAAAAATCATTTTTAAATTCTTAATCGCACTTTTCGATCGTCCAAATGATGTCGCGCACGCGTAAACGCGATCAAACTACATTTATAGAGAGGAAAGCTTTTGAGTGATACCGACTGTTATGCACGATAATCCATAATTTGCGCGTGAAGTTCACCTCAGGTTAGGAGACGGTGCAATCTGCGTCGATCACGTTGATTTTACAATCGCAGATGTAAACGTTCAGACGCATGTACATACATACATATATAGATGCGCGGGTTATTGAGGACCGGCTGTGAATGGCGAACGGAATGGACGCGGGGGAGTTAAAAGGGGCGCCGCCGGGAAGGGGTGGGGAGAGGAGGGGGAGGAGGATAGGCCGGGAGAGAAATTTGATTTATCGGCGATTACGATCGGTGATTGGACTCTGACGGGTTCCTGTGCGTCATGCGGTGATGCATGAGCAGCGGCCGATAACGCGTAATGTCACCATTCGCCCGGGTGACCTATGCGCCTACCCGCGAAATTACTTTGCATTAGGACCACGAGTGATGAATACCGGGTTAAACAGTGGCCCGAATCGCCCGCTGATCCACCAAACTGCCCGAAAAATAGATATCGCGACACTATACATTTTGTACATACAACGCTCCACCTCTTTTATAACATTCGCGTGTACCACATTGTTGTCAATGATGTACGAACAATAGTCGGAAATTAACAAAACACGAACAGTGGCGCGTACTTTATTAAAAAAAAAAAAAAAAAAAAATCTGGACGCGTTAAAAATTGAAAAGAAAAAAATTACATTTTCGCCAAAAAATTGGATCTTTTGTTCTTATAGCAATGTAATATTAAAAGCATCGTAAAAGAAGGTAATTTTCTACGGTACAATTTAATTGTACTCATATAATGCTTAAATAATATCATATACAAACTTTCTTACTTCATTTTCTTCTCGGATAGGATTTTGTTAAAACTGACATTCTACGACGGCCATAGCCAGAGGTATCTCGACGTTAACGAGATCATATGTTAATGTCTCCCCCGTAACTTTCTAAATATGTGCAAGAAAGTGTATGCGCGTTGGACTGTGAAAAGTTATACTCACCCTGAAAGTTTGCGCGCAAACGGGAAGGAGAGAGAACCCGGGGTTGTAAGAAAAAAGATTGCGAAAAAGAATTACAAAGGCCTCGGCGTGCAAAGATGTGAACTAGGTTACTATAAAAGCGCGAGAGACGACATCGCGTCACGCGGATAAATGAAGAATGAACTGCAAACTGCAAGTCGCTCGAGTGCATTAGCAAAGAGAACAGCCAAGTTTGTCGCGTAACGATCACGAATTAATGCTTCGTCGACGCAGCTCATGTAACGGCAAATTTATTTTACTACGGAACGTCGAGTACGAAAATTTATCAATGTTAACAAAGGTCAATTGCGGTGAAATCTGAAAAAAATATCCTTTGCGCAATATATGGAAAGGTAATTGGGGATTTCGGCGATAATCGGACGAGCGGATCGATTTAATTTCGATGACAAATTTGTTTGTCGCTGCTTCTGCCTCATCGGAGTCCCCTCACAACGGCAAAATTTAATCGCGAAAACCTGTTGACGTATACTCGAGCGTTAAAGCGTTCACCGAGCTTTGCATAATTTACCTAATAAGAGGATTAGTCGGTTAATTGATTTTTTTTTCTAAAAACGCTGGCGGCATTGGCCAGACCATTTTTGTCCGTCAAAATAATTTTACAGCATTTTCTCTGTATTCTCAATTTAAATGTTTTTAATTTTCTCATATAAGTAAACACATCTGTTATAAAACGGTTAAATTGTGCATAATTAAATTAATGAAGAAATGAATAATAACATTACTATCATAGTATAATATTATTATATACTATACAACGTAAATCGGCTGTAAAAAACAAATGTTCATTTAGAAATGAAAAATAACAAAAATAATTCTCGCACTTTTGCGAGATAAATACAAAGCACCGAAAAATACAAACGCGAAAAATATGTGCAAAGTATAAGAAAAATATCATGTTGAAAAAAATAAATAAAAAACAAGTATTTTCGAATAATGTCGCAATGTACAATAAATAAACGACCTAGCACAAGGTGAGAATAATCTTTGGAATCGAAATCGTAAAACGTTTGCGATGTTTAAGAGACTCGCGATCACAACGTATAGCGAGATGCTAAGTTTCCGAACTCAGGCACTATTATTACAACGACGAGCTCTTGATAAGGAAACTTGGGACTTACCGCACGATCGCCAAGATTGCGCACCCTACAGTGCAAGTAAGCGGATTGCCCGACGGTAGTTGTGGTCTCCCTCTTTGTCGTGTTGTCGAAGTAAGGCTGACTAAAGGGTTGCTCCCAGTAAGAGGACGGATGATGCTCCACCACCGCTCTCCCGCTCTTGGCCGCGCATTCTGCTAAAAACAATAAGGCTGGTTAATAAGATTTATTTATCGTCGCCATTAATGCAATCTTGTTGCGCAACATTGGTGTTGCAACGAGGAAAATTTAAAAGCCTTAAATAATCCAAACTTGAACTTATTATAGATTGTCGTTTGCTCTAAATATAAATGATGAAGCTTTTTCAAAGTTTGAAGATTGCGAATTTCATAATAGCTAATTAATCGATATTCGATATCAAGTTAAAAAAAGAACTCACATTACATATTTACTCGCAAAAATAGGGAATCATTAAATTGTGTCTATAAATAATTGTGAAATAGCTTAATGGCCTATCGATATCTATATTGAAAACTCACGAAAAAAATCTAATTTTAATGCAAATTATGGATAAACCGATAAAAAATGGAATATAATATAAAAAAAAATGAGAATTTTATCGAAAACTGACCGCGTTATTAGCTCTACTCGATATATGTAGATATCTCGCTCGTGCCGTGCTTTCGTTAGGAAATCGATTCTTCTCGCTCGACGAAACGTCGCGGGTCCCCATTACTGGGATAAGTTCGAGTTTATCTGGCTGAGTTTAAAGCTCGGAACCTGAACTGAGCCGGTACGAATACAGAAATTCAGATCCAGGACGCTGTTTGAGATGTCGATTGCCGCGAACGGACGAACGAACTCTAATAGAACACCCTTCGGGAATTCTACTTCGTTCCTGGTATATTACACGGAGGCACATCCTTGCGATGAGATTTCTGTCGGAACTAGAAATATATCCGATCGATGCCTGGGAATTGCATGATTTACAAGCAGACTGATCGCAGTTCGTTCGTTACGGAAGTTATGCAAATACGTAAAAAAGGACATTCGTTCCTAATATCTTCCGACACGATTTTTATCCTTATGCAATTTTACATTACTCCTTACGTCGCGTGCGAATATAGTTTCAACAGCTAATCTTCGCCTCTCCGTATTTTCTACGTTTATTATACAATTTCTCGAATGTCGCGAATTTGAAATCGGCGGGAATAAAATAAAAATGCGAAGAAATAAACGATAAAAATAAGATATAAAGAAAAACGCGAAGAGATAATAATGAAATAAAATAAAAATTATTTGGTATACTATACAATATCGTCATCTCATTAAAGATATTTAATAGACGTTGAGACGCGTTTTACAGCATCCTTCCAAGTGCGGCTGTTTTTCAAAGTAACGATCTGCCGGTGTGGCGTAAAATTCTCTGCAACAGTCCCTCATCAATTTTTTCAGCCCATCCTCATCTCTCTCCAACCGCTCGTCTCACTGATTACTTTATTCCGAGAAAACGATACTCTTGGTAACCGGCGACGTAAAAAACCCTTCCGAGAAACCTTTTATGTACGTTATACGAGGTCTTAGCAAAGTGAGAAAATTTACGAAGGGATGCTACCGAAGAATCTGTATTCTCATGTTGATACTTTATAAACACGATATCTTGTGGCTACGTAATAATGGCAGCGTCAATTATAAATCTAATATTCTTGTGTTTAGGTATACTTAAATTGCTTAATGTAATTAATATTTAGATGAAACGAAAATTAATTGTACGTGTCCGAAATTAATTGCGATATCCTATTTCAAAGCTTTCAAAAATTTTCCGTTTTCGCGATAGAAATTTTATTTATTCTTTTCCAACACAATAATCCCGCTTGTATCGATATATGTTTAAAATCAAATAATCTTTTAATACCTAATAACATTATATACAAATTAACAATCGTAAATTTCTCTGTTTCAAAGCAAATTCTCTCGGAAATTCCCGAATGTAGAATCGAATCGTCGATATTCTCCGCGCTCGAAATACCACGGAAAGTTACACAATGCAAGGCAAAAAGCAGCCGATTCCAATCGCAGGCTGTTAATCGGGTTTTTCGTCGGATTGCAGCCGGCACGACGAACGCGGGTGCCGGCAAAAAAACGTTTAAAAACTACAGGACGGCTCGGAGCGAGTTCGGGAAAGAATGAGTTTGTTAACCCCGAGTGTGCTCTTCTTTCTCTGCAAGTTCGGGGCAAAGGAACTCGGGCGGGATGAGAAGCTTCAGGTGTTTGCTAATGGCCCGCGGCGCCGAAACCAATCATTCGTTCATGACTGTCCCTTTCCACTTTCCGTTTGTTCAGCCATATTGTATTTTTTTTTTATCATTCTCGTCAACGCTCGACTTTTGTCTCCATGTTCACGTAAAATTCGAAAGAAATCCTAACGACGTATATCACTGATCCAGATACTGTCATGTTCATTCTAACGCGCAAGCGCGGAGTTGACCTATTTTGATTAACATAGTGCTGTGCTACTGTTTAAAAGAAGTCACAGGCACACCATAAAGAAATTTAATTTAAAATTTCACGTGAAATTTTACAATCTTGGTTTACGTCCAACAAGCTAAAGAAATTATTATTCGTTAAATAATGATTGACAATGGATATCGCTCTAAGTTAATCGCCGCATGGAAACATAAGAAAGAGAGTGTTTCAATATAATGTAAAGTAAATTAAAAATTTAGATAAACAATTTCCACTTTTCGCTTTGTAAAATACACTCCATCTACAGTATAATTAAATTGTAGAAATGGAATTTCTTCTCTCTCTCTCGGACGTTTCTCTTTGATTTTCGCCAGAGACGTAACTCCGCGCCAAGTCACGGCAGCCACGTCTCGTGCAACACGACTAAAATGCAAAAACTTGGGGTCTCCCAAAGTCACATTTCAACTATTTTCTTGTTATTCCATTTCCAACAAAACTGACGAAGTGAGTGTCCACTGAAGAAAGAAATCTACGAAACGCACGACTAAAGCGCGAAATATGTACAAAGAACTTTTTGATCTCGATCTGTTTCGTTGAAAGAATTTTGCAGTCGCTTTTGAAAAATCCTCAAGTTGCAGTACAACGATATCGCGAAGATAAAGATAAAGTTTTCTAAAAATCGGCGGGCGTTATATAATATTTACAAAGATACGCAACGCAGAGACAAAGAATGAGAATCGGAGAAAAGCGTTTATCGCGAAGTAGATGCGTTTGTTCAGTCCCTCAAGACAAACGCTACGACGTTCACTCGAATGTGTTTGTTAGCTACGAACGGAAGCAATCCGTTCGAAGAGATTACGAGACGAGAAATGCGGAGAATGTCGTCGAGGCGTCCGCTTTTCGCGAAAGTAACGCAACACTCCTCGTTGAAATCCAAGTAGCTTATGTTCCCGGCCTCTCAGCTTGTTCAGTCGCGTGGAGAACTCGAACGAAGCGATGTGTCTTCGGATTCAGGATGTGTCTCCTCGAGAGACACGCACGAAATTTTCCCCACGAAATCCAGAAAAAGTCGAGAGAAAAGTTTCTATTTAAGAATGTGGAGAGGATTCGCCTCTGCTCACGCTCACTCGTGTTTTTTTGGCCGGAACAAGATTCGTCGCCCGTCTTTCAGTTCTATTGAGTCATCTTTCGACCAAAAACAACCCCAAGGGAATGTGCAATCGAATATAAATAATAACGAGAATAATAAAACTCGAAAATAAAACCATGAAATATTTATTTCACCTTATAAAAGGTATTCTTTCGGAATAATAATCTATTCGATGTATATTAAATTCATCATTCGCGTTGCAAGTTCATAAAACTCGCTTCATTCCATGATATTAATCCGGACGAGTTATTTAATAACATCGTGGTTGCGGAAAACCATTATGCTTTCGAAGACATCGATTAACTTTACCAATATAATACCATATAATAGCATATCTATCGGATAAATGGAATACCAATTGTCATCGTTAACGGGAAAATTGAGAGTGTATAAATTTGAACTTTACACAATATATAAAAATAAAATTTTTGTGCAGAGGCAAAAATATAGAATTTCAAACTATTAAGAGTTAAAGTGGATTAATAATAAATTTCCAAATATATATTACTTTTAATATTATTATTAAATAATAATCATTGTATAAAAATTTTAAAGTGCACGTGTGTGCAAGAAAAAGATTGTCATGTATAAAAATTCAGAAAATTAGTTTTCATTGTCGAAAAATCCGTCTTATTTGAAGGCTAATAATATTACAAAATGTGACATAAACACATACATTTCAGTTTATAGGATTGGAAAATATATCGATAAAGTTTCGCAGACGCATCTCGCGGTAACACGGTAAAAATGTCGCTAAAATGTTCGTCGCAAGTATTGCACGTATCGCAAAACCTCTCACTAAAATCTAAGTGGCTTATGTTCTGCCACGCATGTCGTCCCGTTCCTTTTCTAACGCTACTTTCATATGTGTAAAAGCAAAGCTTTTCTTCGATCCACCGGGAGGCGCAAGCATGTCCTTTTCTTCCCGTTTTTCTCCTTTTTTTATTACATTGAGTTGCAGTATCGGAAAATTACATCGAGACTACTACTTCTCTCGAACGAAGGGTATTAAATATTGCGTCACACAATTGCTTTTGCGAGCGTTGCGTGCAATCGACATTAGCGGGAGACAGCTTGTAATTAATGAATACACACTGTTTTTGTTCCCTTTATATATTTAAGTTTTTATTTCTTCAAACATAAGTAAAACTCTGTAATAAAAGGATTAATATTTTGAAAGAAATATATATATATATATATTTCTATCTCTCTTTTTCTATTGATTCTTCTTTCGTTTCAATTCAAAGTTTTCTTTATTGCAAGAAACTTGGAATTTTCTATCAATAAAGTTTTATAAATAAATAATTATATATAAACAATTTCTTGAAAACTTTCATTAATACAATTTAAATTATTTCTCTTTTAAATTATTAATATATATGTATAAACTAGAAAGCGGATCTACCAAGTAGCTTAAAAAAAAAATACAACTCTAATAAAAAAGTACATTCATAATTGCGAGAGTTATGAGCGAAGGGGTTAAAGGTAAAATTACAGAGCGACATTTTTAAGCAGTGAAATCCACGAAGAAATGAAAGTAATTAAAAACGTCGACGCAAAATGGCATAATCACGCGAAGGA